GGCCATCTCTTCTAGGTTGGAGGCCATCGCTACTAACTAGGTTGGAGGTCATCGCTAGTAGGTTGGAGGCCATCTCTTCTAGGTTGGAGGTCATCGCTAGTAATTTGGAAGCCATCGCTACTAGGTTGTAGTTTTGGTGTTGTGTGGTGTTTGGATCTTAATTGCCTTTGACTGTTGACTACCAGTAACACCCGGTACCTTGCGTACCTCAAACTTGAGTATGCCCCACTATTAGTCACCCAAACGCGTTTCTTTGCAAGAAAGTTTCATTGGTTTTGCATGCATTGTTTTGTGACACGACTCTCTTGGATGAACCCACGACTCTCTCTCTCTCTCTCTTGGTTTGTCCGAGACTGTACCTCGAGATTTCAGGATCTGAAGACTTGGGTGACGAAGGCTTCTTATTTGCCTCTTTTCCAGGAGGTGAAGGCAGGAAGCTGGTGGAACTGAGCCAAATCTGTGGCCTTCAGTTCTGTTTCCTGCTTTTTGATGTCCGGACTAGTTTATGTCTTTGGTGTTTTAACGTTTCAAGGTCAGCTATCATTTTCTCTTGTCAGCCAGCTTTGACCCTGACAGGCTGGATCCCTGCGTCCTCTGTCGAGGAATGACGGTACTGGCAAACTACAATTGCCATGCGGACGACGAGAGTTTCACACAGTCCATTTGCAGATGATGATGAGTTGAAAAAGGATGTTGCAAAGATATTTGTGGATTTGAGTGGCTGCTTTTAAGCGTTTTAAGGAGGCCTCACGCCATTTGATCCAGAATACCTTTGCTCTACGAAGATTAAAGACGGGAAACCAGCTTTGCTTTCCTTTTTCACAGCGAAGGTGATTCAACTCTAGCTAGCTGTCGCTTTTTTATGTTTGGACGTTGCCCGCATGCACCGGTAGGCACAGGCTGCGCTGGCAGAGAAGCTCGCGGTAGAGCAGGACTGGCGGCACGTGTGAGTGTCGACGATGTCAAATCTTCCTCATCGGTATGCCAGAGGACAGTCCAGAAACTTCTCACAATTCTTTCCAGAATTGAGCGTTGCGGGGGATCATGCAAACGAAGACATGGGCCTCTGATACGGGAAACGCTCTCCAAACAAAAGCAGGAAGAAAGAAAGGAGAACTGAAAGTTCGAAATGTCTCAGGAAAAACATGAAAAGAGAGACATACATTCATAGAGAAAGGTCTCAAGATTCAAATACAATATATGCTAAGCAACAAATAGAGGCCATCGCTACTAGGGTGTAGGCCATCGCTAGTAGGTTCACCGACAGGAGCAGTTATTGGATGCTTTTGCTGAAGCCGCCGCGCCGGGCCCCAAGATGCCAATGTAGGTTTGCTTTTGCCATAGCTATAGGATGCTTTCGATATCTTCTTTCTTATTTGTGTTGTTTTTATTCAATACATACTTTTCTTATATCGTTGTTGTTTTGTTTTTTGTGCTTGTGTTTATTTGTGTTTGAATTTTTAGACCTTCCTGGCAGAACTGCCTTTGTTGCCCAGATCTGGAGATCCCGCTGCAATCAAGCAAGCCCGTGATGCGGCGAAGAAGGGAGGTGTGCCAACGAAGGAGCGAAGAACCACCAAAGAAGTCATGAGAAAGAACACATGAGAAGTGTTTGTTGTTTTTTTTTGGGGGGTGAATCATTTCAATTGAGATGTTCAATTCATTTCATATCAGAGAAAGAACACGTTTCACATCAGTTGAAATACCCGCTTTGAACCGCTCCAGGAGATCGCGAGAGTATTCGCGCTTGCCCAGAAGTCTGCAGAATGAGTCTGGCTTTCGCTTGATTCTGACACCCCAAAGATGGGCTGTCAGGATAGAGACAGTCTGACAGGTTTGAGGTCAGTCAAAAAGCCTGTTGCTCGTTTGCTCTTGTGCTCACCACAGGTGCCTGCCGCGTGCAGTTACAAGCGACCGTAAGGCAACGGGCAATACTGGGAGCCGACCCTAACAAAAGGCACAGTTCAGCACTGAGATCAAGGAAAGCTCGAAAGAGTGATCCACACAGTACTACACACAGTCCTGCAAGCAATTGAGCAAGCCGTGGAATATTGCTTCACTGCTACCATACATTTCAGCCAGCGCTTGGCTTGCAAAAATCACGGGATAAGAAAAAATACTGTATTGCTGAGATTTCTGGGGCAGTGCCAAAATGCCAAAGCAAAGTGGGAAGGTGCTAAGCGTGTGAGATCAAAAAGAGTATGTTTCCAAAATGTAAGGACAGGCGTGGAATAAAGTAAGCTCAACAAGCAGAAGCAGGATGTTGGCATGAATATCCGATCCATCAAGAAGAACAAAGAAAAACATCCAGGGCTCATCTCACTTTAGATCTTTGCTTCTATTAGCAATGGCCTCCTAGCGACGGCCTCCAACCAAATAGCAAACTATATTTACCATTTGAGTATCGATACTGTCATGCCCTGTCACATCTCACTGCAACATTCTATACATCAATCCATCCCCGACGAACATCTCAAAGCAATGATGGTCTTCATTTGCAAAAAAAGGAAAGCACTCAGCATCTCCTGAAGCTACTAGGAACAAGGACGCTACTAGGAACAAGTGCATCGCTTCTAGTAACAAGTGCCTTACTAGTAGTAACAAGAAGCTAGTAGTAACAAGTGCCACGCTAGTAGTAACAGGTGCCTTACTAGTAGTAACAAGAAGCACTCAAGGCATCGCAAATTATCCTTGTTAACCTAGTGCTGGAACAGGCGATGCGAAGAGCCTCCAAGCTAATAGCAGACTATATTAGACCGTTCTGTTTTTTTGCTTCTAATAGCGATGGCCTCCAACCTACTAGCGATGGCCTCCAACCTAATAGGAAACTATCTTAGTTTCTAATTTATATATTGTTTCTACTAGCTTCTTGTTACTACTAGTAAGGCACTTGTTACTAGTAGCGACGCACTTGTTAATAGAAACCCAAGATCTTCAGCTTGATTTTACAGGGATGGCGGAGGCGATCGACCCATACCTTCCGACCACTCAGATTGGTTCCGACCAGCGCGATGCAACGACCACTTGTACATAGCAAGACGCATAGAAAACACTGCGGAACAAAGCGGAAGTGATTTGTTTATCCTAGACACTGGAAGCTCAGCCACAACCGCATGATCAAATCTTTGAAAAAAAGGCCGCTCCCCGAAGATGATCGGTATCATCGAAGCTTGGTAATTATTCCCGTCCAGCGGTGAGGCGCGACAAGTTTAAGTCCGGCGCATACGTTCAGCAAGCTGGAACTTGTCTGGATGGTCCACTCAGTCCTTACCTTTCTTGTGTTAACTATTTAGTCATGTTTGAGGACATTCATCGGGAACGTTACAGAGGGCTTAGCCACATAAAACTTGACCACATCTCTTCCTTGGAACTCCTTCACGCTGATGACACTGTATTCATTAGTAAAGATACTCGTACACTCTATCATGTTGTAGAGGTGGAATCAGAGTACTTCAGACTAAGGCTCAGCCAGTCAAAGCGTGTGGCAACGACCACTAACAGAGGGCATGCTGTTCGTTTCAGGGATGGCACCCCGGTCCCTAATGAATAGCAAGTCACCAAATCTTAGGAGGGATCATCACCAGAAAGGTTAAGCTGCGTGCTGAAGTGGAAGATTGGAATTCTGATTTCTAGGATGGTTACTTGGAACCATATGCATGTGTCTCTTTTCAAAGATGCCAATTGCCCGGTTCGTTGGAAAACTATCATTTACCATAGCATGATAAAATCAAAATAATTGTTGTATGGCCTGGTGGTGGAGCATACTACCGCACTGCTGTCAAGATCAGCGGTGCCGCTGCATGGCCCCCGCTGCTTTCGCAGAAGGACGAAATACTGAATCCAACCTCACTTGGTCGAATTAAATTCTTATTGTTACTACTAGTAAGGCACTTGTTACTACTAGCTTCTTGTTTCTACTAGTAAGGCACCTGTTACTACTAGCGATGCACCCGTTACTAGCAACCTCACTTGGTCGATTAGGAGATTCTTTTGGTCCAAAGAAACACTGGACAGACACTTTGGCGGGACCTGTGCGACTCTGTGGTCCAACAAGATCAATTGTGTTTTCAATCCTTGAATCAGGCTGTTTTAGACTACCCATTGACATTGATTGAAAGGCAGTCGTCGTCAATATGTGTTTTTCTTCTCACCCAAGCTCTGGAACAGGTTCCTTTTCTTTCCTTTCACAGAGTGGGGTTGCCAAACGGGCACTTTCCTTTGGACACATTTTCCTTTTGACCTGCCATTGACTTCTCAGTATAGTAGTTGTTTTCCGTGTGCCTTGACAGCATAACAAGAAAGGTGTGGACTGCACTGGTTACAAGTAGTATGAGAGACATTAAACCGACAATGGTCGCCCTGAGTGGTCAGGTCTATCCGTTTTCCTTTGTCCATGTTGTATCCGTCTCCAAATGGACAATTGCTCACAAGAAGCTTCAAACCAGGCTCCAAACATGGCCAGTAGCTTTGGATTAAGATCAGACCACACTTTTGGCGGGGGTTTCAAGATGTTGTGCTGATGTTTCCGGACACGTCCTAAACAAAATCTACGCAGCACCTGCGCGACCTAGGTGTTTCTAGTGTATCTTGGAACCTTCGCAAGGCTATCTGGTTTCCACTTCTCAGTTGTTTGCCCAACTTTTTCGTTTTGTGTTCCTAATCTGGAATTGTGTGTCCACGATCTTTCGCTGGAACAATTAGTAGGCAAGCCTAAAACTTCAGGATAGGCGCAAAAGATATTTGTTTTGCAGATCCACGTGTCCAAGCACCTAGACAAAGCAGACAACTCCAGCCAGATAACAACAGGGAAGGCATGACCATCGTTCCGTGTGTGGTGCACCGAAGTTCACTGAAGCGGTTGATGCTTGAGTCGTTGCTGGTGCTGGCTCTAGAAAAGTAGAGCAGGCTTCTTGGTGATCTGCAAAGGCAGATCTAGTGGAGGCTTGCTGATGGAATGCCTGCAGGGCAATTTCCTCAAGTTGGACACTCCACCGTTCTGTCGTCAACTTCCTCTTCCATTCTGAGCTGCAATGCGCGTGAGAAAGCGAGGCAGAAGATGAGCTCGGCAGTCGGTGTACCATTCGACCACATTTACAGAAGCTCTCCGCACAAGGCACAACTGCAGCACTCGTCAATTGGATTCTTGTTTTCTGTCAAAATGCGTAGGATTCGTTGTAGAACACCGGGAGACTTTGCAGTGAAGACGTGTGGTGCCTTCGTCTAAACTCTTGCTGGTTGTGAATTGGGCCTGAAGTGAAGGAAACAAAATACCTGTTGCATCTATATATAGACCTGCAGGCTTGCAGCTCCGGGATTACATCTTCGAAGTCCATACAAGCAGCTGGCACGATGATGAAGCAACGACCGCCTTCGTCGCAACGCTTTCTCGCCACAGCGTACGATTCAAACTGGACGTTGAGGCCACCACAATCTGAACATGTTGTGGCGTTGCACCTGTTCCTAATAGCGATGCGTGTGTTACTAGTAGCTTCTTGTTACTAGTGGTAATGCCAGGAGCTACTAGTAGCGTCCTTGCTCCTAGTAGCGATGCCCTTGTTACTAATGGCTGATTCCCGTATCATAAAGGCCACAGTCTTGACGATCCTCTCAGATGAAGACAAAGTGAAAGAAAGTGCCACTAGCTGCACAGTTGACATGCACTAGCTAAAAGTTTGACATGCATAGAAAAGACAAACATGTACATAGAGAGAAACAAATTGATATTCAGTTTGTTACGAGGCAGGAGATTGTTGACTTGGAGCATGAGCGCCTCAATGACGTCAAGACCGAATGCAACAGCTGGCTGCATGGAGTCCTGGGGAAAAGGATCCTGGGCATGAGATCATCTACAAATATAAAACAAAAGAAAGGAGAGGAGAGAAGAAAGAAGCAAGCAAGGTGCACAGGTCTAAAAAGAGACAAGACAAGAGAAGGAAAAAGTGATGGCCTCCAACCTAACAGCGATGGGCTCCAACCTAAGAAACAGAAAGGTTCAAAGAAAGACGAGAAAAAGGACAGAACAACACACATAAAACCACAAATCAAACATATAGTGAGCATCTTGTGAATGTGTTCCTTTGAAATTGTTCCACATTCCATTATTGTGTTTGTTGTGCAAGATGACTAGGCTTGAGCATTACATCGCTCTCAGGAAGAAAAAAGAGCCTCGCATGAGCAGTAAAATAAGGCTCGGTTGCCATGTTGCATGTCATGCAAGGCCAAAAACAACGACGACAAACTAGTTGCCCTCAAAGAGTCATTGGCGTTGAGCTATATTAAAGCTTCAATCCCCTAGCTACATGGAAACTGATCATGCCTTTTCAGGGTAATAAGCACTCCAGTCCTTGGGGTGCGCAGCAAAACATGTAGTGCGGCCTCGGCCGGCCTCGGCAGGCCAGACTTGATCTCCACCATTCTTGAAGATGGTGGCATCACAGATAAGCCTTGGGCCTGGGATCCCCTACGTGACCTCAAAATGCTCGGCATGCAGGACCTCCAAACAGGAAACAATTCCAACAAGGAAGACCAGAGAGAAGGACGACACGGAAGGCATACAGAAGGCATACTGTTTGTGCTCCTTTGAGTTCCAAAACTCCGTTGTAAGGTGGTGCTTTTGGTGCCTGAAGCAGTTTATTTTGTTGGACGAAAAATGTATTTCCAAAGAGACAAAGAGACCAACAAAGATGACCAGCGGGCGCACTGTGTGAGGCCAAAACCAATTAGGTTTGAAAGCATGGAAAGAACATGACTAGCAAGTTATCCCTGACAGAAAACCAATAACATAAACATGAAGGTCTGAAAGGGAAAAACACAACGAGAAACATGGAAAGAACATTTAAAACATATATCCGTAGGATGACTTGGAGCTACAGCAGACAAGCAGCTCAAAAAGAGCCTTCGCGAGGATTCACGCCGGTCCTCCGAAAGCTCGTCAAGTGCGTCGTCAGAAGCTTTGGATATCGGAACTCTTGCAGTTGTGGCCAGGCGCACAGGGATCAGATTGGCTTGCACCTTATCCTAACAGCGATGGCCTCCAACCTACCAGCGATGGCCTCCAACCTAATAGCGCTAAAAAGAATTGTCAGGCGCATGCAAGCATCCCAAAACAATGTTCTTTTGAGCTGGAAACCAAGTGAATGAGTCGATTCAGGACTTGAAACAAGGAAGCCTTACTTGATTGAAACTACAGTCAGCTGATAAGTGGGGCTGCTTGCTGGGTTATCGCCAGTGGGTTTGATAAGCAGCTTGTGATAAATCAATGATCTGTACCTGAGCACCTTGTTGGCGATCGACCGTGAACCAACGTGTATAAATTCGACCTGAGTTTGCCGAAGCTCAGCATGTCATGCAAACTAACAGTAGCTACTTCAGCAAAGTCCATCGGGGCAAGCTGTTTTCCACAAAGTTGCTGATGATATCCTCAAGCGGGAAAGTGCAAGGGTTTGTTCCCCTGTCACCTTGATGTTCGTACAAAAATGGCTATACCTTCGTCCATGCCACCAAAAGCAGGCTCACATGCTTTCGTTGCTGCGTTTGCACACTTCCTGCGTCCATGTATCCAGCCAACTCTTTCTTCAGGGTAAAACCTCTTCAAGCTTCTTAGTCTTCCGCATGGTCTTGTGTCTTGTCGCCATCGTACAAGCGGTCATGATCGGAGAGGCTTCTCCTTGAACATCTATGCTGCCACTGCATAGCTGCATAGCTCTTAATGCTCTCTTTCGCCCACTTTCCACGGAGGTAGACGGGATGTTCTTCATGGTCTTATGCCGTGCTTGGTCTCCTTATGAGTCCACTTCTAGAAGAGATGTCGGAACTTTGAATAAAATGATTGCGGCAGTCTCTGAGCTCAAAAGGGGTTTCCCTCGGCAATCAGTGCTGCACAACCTTTGCCATCCTTCTCCAGAACAGCAGCCTACGGCACCAGTCGAGCCATTCAGCCCCCTTGACCGACAGTGCTCTAATTCTGAAGAAGAATTTCAAGACTTGGAGTTGATCAGCCCTGATCCAACCTCGACTCTGTACTTTGCCATACTTCAGAGCCCCTTCAATTGCGATCCAGACTCTTTCATCCATTCCATCATATTCCCGTCTGCCAACATAGTATGGCAATGTCCGATGTTGGTGGCCAACATTTCCGCCTTGTATGACATTGTATGAAATGTTGGAAGATGTATAGTTCTGTACAATGCGATAACATGTTCAAGCTGTTTTCGTCTCCACTGAAAAACCAATAAAACAATTAAAGCTTCAGTGGCAACAAAGCGACCTGCCAAGCTGTTCACACTTAAGGCAACATCAATGACAGTAGGTAGTTCCTGGCTAAACTTTGGCTTGACAGCACATGAATGCCAAGGCTTAGTTTCTTTAATTCCGATGATCCGTCGAACAGCCATTTTTGCAGGTGGGGCCGCCGCCGCAGCGCCATGCGAGATTCACACCTGCAGCGCCGTTCTTCAATTCAACGCCGCAGCAGCAAAGCCAACACCTTTCGATTTCGAGAGAAGGCCAACTGGACTTTGCGTTTCAATGTTCGAACTTGATGCCAAAAACGTATCAAAAGGTACGCATCCCACGGCACAATGTGTTTTTTGTTTTTTTCCGGCTCTCACGATTGGTATAAAGTCTGACAGCAAAAGGGTTCCAAAGTCTCACATCAATGTCATCGTCACTGGCGGATGACGAAAGATATCGTCACTTGTTCAGGAGAAACCCACAGAGGTGAAGAAACCTGCGCCGGAGATCTTCACCTTGCAAAAACTTTCTTCGAGACATAACATTCCTTTCCAGGCTGGAGCAGGACGTGCCTTTGCTCTTGGCAGGGCCAACCGCAAGACTCAACGACAACCTTGTATGACATGGAAAGCTTTTTGTTGTTGCTACAGCTTCCTCAAGAGTTTGTAACTGTTCACAATTGCATTGTTCAGGCCTAGAACTGCACATATATAGTTTGTTCGAGTTTTGTCTCTGACGCCAGCTTCGATGCAAGCTAGGCAGAATTTTCAGTTGTTCATTTCAGGCCAGTCTAACAGAACCGTTTGCAGGTGAGCGAACAAGCCTTCAGCTGGTGGTTCCAATTTGCAAAACCGGAGAGCTTTCTTGGCACACGGGTTGGCTTGGCATGTTTAGCATGATTTTCTGTCGAAAAACATCTACTGGATAGCAAATGGATGGCCCCCGCAGAGTATTTTTTTCTTGAGGAGGCTACAAATTTTGTCTGGAGACCCTGCAATTTTCAAGCATAGCACCAATAAGGGCTAATAAGAGCAGTTTCAAAAGGTTCTTGGCAACCAATCCTTTCTGTTTGCTGCCATGTACTACTTGTAGTACTACTTGTTTGCTTGCAAAGTTCAGTCCTGGCATTGAGTCTGTGGACCCACTTTGCAAGCCAAATCAGTGTTTGCTTTGTGGATATGACTTCTTCGTCATCATGGAGAGTCTGAATGGATGTTTTCCTGAAGACTGCCTTCACCATGTCAATCCTCTTTCAGTTTCAAAGAGCGATTTACACTTGAAAAGCACTCCATGCCTTCTATTACTTGTAGCTGCTAGCTGGCCGGAATATACATGATTTGGTCGGTCCATGGCGGATTCGCCCCAGAATAGGGGATTCCGGTTCGATCTGAGGAAGATGTGGTGGATGGCATGGAATTTGATATCCCAAGCTTGGGCCTGATGTCCCACGATACCTTTGTGAAAGCTTGCTGTGCAATCAGTGACGTCGATGATCCCAAGCTCTTGGACATGGAGTTCGTGGGAAGTGTCCTTTTGAGAGCTGCAGAGTACCTAGAGTCAGCCACCACTAGCCTCGATCCGCAGGATGAGAATCTGGGCTGCAACAGTTTCGGCTCTCGATTTTTTGTGTGAAAAGGTCCAAAAGGACTCAATAAATGTGTCTGTTCAGTATGCAAATAATGGTGGATGGCCGCCTCATTTGAGATCATTTGAGGAGCCTTGATGGTCATTTGGATTTTGCGGAGTTCCTGACCTTCTTCCACAAGTTTAGCTTTTCCGAAGAGGCGAAAGATCACATGCATAGCTCGTCGAAACAGGAGTCCTGCAGCTGCAGCTACTCGTAGTTTCTGCAACACCAAGCAACCCGTATGGTGTGACCTTGTTTGCATGTCAGTAGGATCGCTATTCGAGTTTTTGACTTCAGGCAGAATCCTCAAGCAATATCCTATAGCAGTCCTGCATGTGGCAAGTAGTGTTCCCGTGAGAAACTCAGACCAAAGGTCTCATCGTAGGTCCAAAAGGATGCCCTCTTGCCAGTACAGGCCGAGAGTGCATGCCTAAAGCACTGAGGAAAATATGGCTTGGAAGAAACAGTGCAAAGGTTATAGTTGTGTTTATTATTTTAATAGTTAATTCCTTTTGGATAGCATAGTTAGGAACATGGCTTCAGCAGTTGACTCCAGGTTCGCATGGCAAGCCGTTCGCGCGACAGCGCTGCCGTTCGCAGGTGTTGATCAATCGACAGGAGCGAGAGCTGAGACGTTTAGCCCGTAAACATGGCTTCAGCTTTTTGGACATCGATGCCTTGAAGAAAGACTTTGACAAGGCCCGCACTTTCCGGACCGTTTTTTCCGTTCTTTTTTGACATGCCGACATGCCATTAATTAAGTAGGCGTCTACTTAATTGAGTGAGGGAGTAGGCTCCTTGCTACTTGAGCTACTACTACCGACACGGCGCAGGATAGCTCACGCTTTTCAAGGAAGGCTCCCGCCGCCGCCCTAAAGGCGGCGGCGGGGAGCTTCCTTGAAGAAGCGCTCGCACTAATGGTTTAATTTGGTTCCTAGATTGTTCGGAAATTTGATAGAGTTGCTGATCTCTTGAAGAAGACCGTCAAAGGACAAACAAACAAACAATCAAAGAATGCATGTAAAGAACTGAAACGTATATAAAGGAAAGTAAGTAGTAAGAACTAAAGAAAGAAAGGTCAATAAACTAGAATATGTTCAGTGGTTTTCCTCATTGCTTGACACCAGATCGCCTGTTTTCGTTGTAGGTGGACCGAAAGGGGGAAGGGAAGCTGAAGCAAGATGAATTCCTGGAATTGATGGCAAGACTGATGAAATTGCCTCCTGGGCAAGAAATTCCAAGCAAGAAGAAGAAAGAATTGTGGATTGCAGCCACACAAGGCTGGCGGAAACAATTAGACATGGACGCCTTTTTGGGTTTCTATGCCCATTTTGAAAGATAAATTGGAGGGGATTCCAGGACATGTCCTGAAGGCACATTTTATCGAACCCCAAAGGGGTTCGATCAAGAATCAATAATAAAAATTATAGATTAATATATATAATATAAATATTAAATGCAATAATTGATATTAATTAATTATAAAAATGATTTCCGTAATAGGAGATCAATTGAAATTTTAATTTATTATTGGATGGGATTCATTCCTTCCCTAAATGAATACGATATTATAAATATTATTTCTAGATGATATTTGAGGTATTTTTATATTCGGTATTATTATTATTGTTTGGGTTTTTTTATTTTTATTTTTTTTCTCTATATGTAGAATAAATATAATATACATCATTATATATATATATAAAAATAAAATTAAATATTTAAAAATAATATAATATTATTTGATATTTAGATATATTATATATATAATAACAAAAAATAATTGTTTATAATTGAATAATATTAAATATATTAATTAATATATTTGAGTTATATAAAATATTAATGAATGGATTCATTTAAATGAAAGAATATATGTTTTTTTCTATATTATGAAAATTTATATATAATTTATTGCGAATTTATCGCGACCCGTTATTTTTGGATTAATCGATTAATTAAGAATTTCGAATTAATTGGTCGACTAAGATTTATGATTTGGTCGGCCGGCCGAGAATTATATTTGAATTGGCCGATTGATTAACGATTACGTCGACCGGTTAGTCGGTTATTATTATTGCAATTAATATTGGTGGCTGGTCGGCCGAAGAAATCGTTATTTTTTTTAAAAATAATTACATGGATCGGCCGGCGAAATAATACACCGGGTTGTCCGCGCCGTTATAGTTTTATTATTTTTATTTGATAGACGTAAGGATAAGGATAAAAATAATATATATATTATTTGTATTTAATATTAATTATTGTTAAATGTATATTTTTAACATAATCTGAAATGATTTGGTTAAATTTTATAATGGATAATAAATTTTTTTGATGCCCCAAATTTGTTTTTAAATCGAATAATTTTTTTTTATATTTTTGATTTATGATCGTATTCTGCATCCGATGGCATGGGCCTGGATTTTGGATTGCATTGATCATCTTATCAATCATTTTAAGGATTCATATATTCATGAGTCATTTTATGAAATAGATATTGGGAATCATTGCATAGATATTGGCCCAAAAAGCACGATCCTGACAGATCTCCTGATATATTTTGGATCTTCAGCCCACAGGGAACGACCAATCGTTCGAAGATCTCTTGAATGCTTGCTTGAATGGGTTTTTGAAATGCTCTCGCTTAGATACATCATCCAATGGTCACCAAAGACCTGGTCGGGAGTAGGGCACGAGCATTATTTATGTCCATTTCTTAGAGGTCAGAGAGCCGGTCATATCTGCTTCTGGGGCCTGAGCTCCTCAACAAGCTCATCCGAAGGCAGGAATCACAATCTGATCCAGATGATCGCACGTCTGGCATTGCGCCAGGGAGATACATTGAACTAAGTGGGATTAGACCACACCCTGATGGTCTTTCCTTCAATGTGATCGAGGATCATCGATATCTATGCTTCTCGAGATCGGCCGGCAGTGGAACTCACAGCGACAAAATGCAGATGCATCAGCCTTGTTGAGACAGACGATATTCCAAGCCGTCTTCCAGGAGCTGATCAGTCAAGCCAGCAAATTGCAATTGAATCAGGAGGAATGCTTACGGAAGACAACAAATGGCAATACCTCACATAGAACTCCGAAGGCAAAGTCCTCCAGCCGAATCACAAGATTCCGCTGACTTCGGAAGAAGTGTGCTCGATCCTGCAGAGGATTCATCATTTGGGACAGAATCCGAACCTGGTGCTGAAATTTGCTGCGCTCCTCTCTCTGACTCAGGATAATCTTCCTCAAGACACGGCAGTGGCCATACCTTGGAGGCTGGATGTCAGCTTGAGAGGCCCGGAGGCCTTGGAATTGCACTGCCTGTTGTTGAAGTTGGCCGGAAACGGTATTATCCAGCTTATGCTGATGAGGATGCGCCAAGCCAATCTTCAGAGATCACCGTTGGTTGTTGCTATATCCCAATGACTGCGCAAATGATGAGGGGGATTATGACCACAAGCTTGCTCAATGATGGAAGCACGTGCTATATCAACAATGTCTTGCAAGCTCAGCTATGGACTAGCATCATGACCCTGGACCTGGATCTTGACACATGGGATGCATGGACCCAACCAATTTTGAATATATTTAACACTCATGCAGGAGAGGCTATTTTTCCATACAATGATTCATATTTGGCACATCACCTTAGAGAATGGTTCAGCGCTCATGCATCACCTGCTCAATCCGATGCAGGTGAGTTTGCCGGTTGGCTACGAGGCCAGATGTTCGAAAAGGTTCTGATATCGGATCAATATTTGACCCTCCATGCATGGAATGCTAGACTGTCGGCTAGCACAGAAGACAATGGTTCTTTGATTTCGTCAATTATTCTTAGATCCTTGCTTGAGGCCGACATGATACTTCAGCAGGCCATTCGTCAGTGGCATAGACAGGAATCCTTCATCCATGCCTTGAGAATCCAGAATCATTTTGTTTGTATCCAGTTTGAATGCCACCCGGCTCTGAACATTCGACCTGATCATGCAATGATTTGGGACCACAGCCATGTCCTGATGCCTGGGTCATTGCTCCGTGTTTTGGCATGAATTCCAGGTGATCGCAGGGATCCTCCATAAAGGCTCCTCTCCAACCGCAGGTCACTACCAAGCCGTGTTATTTAACTCAGGGTGTGGCGTGCTTTGCAATGACAATCGACCTCCAGGCTGCCTGATTCGGGATCAGACATTCTATGAGGATGTCTATATGTTGTGGCTTGCACCGTGGTCTGTTACCAAGAAGGAATTTCGTCGACCGCTGCCATTGCTTTCGCATGAGCCTCGCAACTCGGCATTGGCTACGCTCATTTCGCAGCACTTTACCTAAGCATCTCGATGGCCAATGACGCTCTTAGAAGTGTCCATGTTCGTATGCGGCCCAACACGGGCGAGACGACCAATTCGCCAACAATTGAATGAATATATATGTATATTATTACGAATATATATAAATATGTTTAAATATTGCAAAATTATTTGATATTTAAATAACATATTAATAAATAATTGATTATATATGAATAATATTAAATATATTTGTTACTATTTTTGATTTATATAATATAATAATGAATTAACTAATTTAAATAGTTTTATATATTGGTTTGAATATTTACCTTGGTCTTCCTCGGCTCCAGAATCGGCAGCCCCGGTCCTATTTTCCCAAAACAGCATATCAAAGGCCTCCCAGGTACCGCTGATATAACTATTCAACACTGAGTGCTTAGGAGACCATCCAAATTCTTCTTCTCCATAATTCTTCTCCATAACAATTGAGGTGAGAACCCGGGACCGTGAAATGAGCGTGATGTACCACTGAACACGCACCTCAAAAACCACATAAGTCCCCCAAATACCAGTAAAGGCCGTGAGGTAACCGTGATGTAACCGTGAAATCCCTTAACCATGAAAGCTGTGTGGGTCACGCAAAAACTGTGATGGGAATGTGTTCTTTCCATCTTCATTGTGAGGCAATGACTAGTATATATTATGAATATACCCCTCATAAGGGCTGCACAAGACCGGCCCCTGAAGAAAGGCCGTGATTTCCACAGCCCTTTGGACGATAAAGGCTATATTCTTATATATTTATATATTATATATATTTAATTTCATTAATGAATATATATATATTATTATTGATAAATTTATTTATATTTTTAATATAGAATATTGATATGGATTTAACCATTTATTATCGATATAAATGATATATGAATTATTCGAAATATTTATATATAGATAGAATTTTGAAGATATATATTATAAAGATTTATACATGTATTTTTGTTATTTTATTTGATAGATAGAAGGACGAGGATAATCATTATATTTTGTTTATATTTATTAATATAACATAAATATTTTTATTAAGATCAAATTTATTATTAATATTATAATGAATATTATAAATATAGCTAATTAAATTATTACAATTATTATTATTAATATTATATTATTGATATTACTAATATTATTATTACTAATATGATTCTTATTGGGAGAATGGGAGGACAAAAAGAAAAATCGATGGATTTTGGATTAAAATTAAGCTTATATCATTGGATTGCATTATTATATAATTATTAAAAATAATATCAATATTATATTATCAATATTTCAATTATTATTACGAAATACTATCACCACCAAGATCACTATTACCAATATGGTGATGAACGGGAAAAAGGATTTGCGAAAATAGAAATATTAAAACATCTATTTTTTTGTTAAGGTATCATTGATTTGAATCATAAGAATATTAATAATCATTATTATTAACATGGTTTTCATTTGAAGAAATAATTTGGAAGGAAAAAGATAGAACTAATTATATATTTTGCATTAAGGTGAGATTTCAACCGCTAAAGTGCAATATGAATTCATTAATATTTTTATTTTTCTACTAAGAATATTAATTCTAGAATGAAAATTAATGCTAAATTACAAAAATATAAATTATTATTATGAAATAATATCATTACCAAGATCACTACTACTAATATAATTTTAAATGATAAAAATAATTGGAACAAAAAATATGTAAAATATCAATAGATTTTTGCATTAAGGTGCCATTGATTTCTATCCCAACGAATTCGATCAATATTATTTCTATATAATTTTCGGTTCCGGCGTAATACTATTTTTTATCAATAAATAAAAATATATATAGGCGAAAGAAAATACAAAACGAATTCAAACATATTCTGCAATTAGCTATTATAAAATATGGTCCTAATAATTTTTATTAAAATTATTATAAATTATATATATTATATAATATTATTTAGCTAAATATATCAATACCAATAAATATAATCATAATGCAAAATTTTCGATATAATATCAATATTTCCAAATATTTCAATAAATAATATGGTTTAATATTATTAATATCATAAATT